TAGAAGTCAAGTCTCGTTCTCTCTGTACCCTCAATACACAGAACAAGCTGGAGCTCCTGATGTCTGTCTGCCCAATGAATGACTGATGGCACAAAATGAGGGAGGGCCACTCCAGCCCTTCTGTCTCCACTGCTGCCACTACAGTGCTGATTATGTGCAGATGAGTCTCAGCTCCTTACAGCTGCAGGAGTCACGTCCTAGCAGCCCAGTCCCCCAAGTGGTGGTGTGTCCCTGCAAGTCTGTGTCAGGAAGTCAGTATACCCCTGATGTCTCTGCCACAGCGAGAGGTCTGGTGTTCAGAGGCCCAGAACACATCCAAGGCCACTTGCAATACACATGTCACTGCTATTTGATTCTTCACAAGTCCCTCCAGGTTCTTGTAAAGCCTCTGGACAGTTTTGAACATCCATCAACAAACAAATGGGGTCACAGATGGGGAAGCACTTGGTGACCTGCAAAGCCCCATACAAACGCAAGGGATTATTGCATTGTGTTGCAAAAAGAGATTCAGATTCTTTGAGGGTTGTGGTTATTTGGATTTGGGCAAACAGGAATTTACTGTTATAAAATCAGCATGTGTGGAGAGTGTCTGCACATGTGCATGTTCAGTGATAAGACCCATAGATAGAAACCTACCTGGCCAAATGGCACAGACCATGCAAAGCCAATGTTGGTAAATTAACAAGAAGTCCCTGGCCCTCTTTTTCAATATGTTTTTATATAGGTGCTCTCAATAGAGTCTCTCCACAACTCTATGTCACTGTTAAATCACTCTGACTTAAGTTCAGTGGAATGAAGCACACAGTGAGCTTGGAGTAATCTACTTTTCAGACTTGCAGGCTCTGAAAACTATGCCTGGGAGAAATTTTTAGGCACAGGAAAACATGGTCTGTGTAGGTCCTGGCAGGGTGCTCCAGACCCATGTCAACCTCCCTCCATTCTCTGTCCCTACAGAGCAGTTCTACAATACCTCCATAATGACCTCTAGAACAAGAAGGCTCCTTTCAGTTAGTCATGCAATCGACAAACGTGTTTTGAGTGTTTTCCTATCAGTGGCAGGCCTCCGCTAGGCCCTGGGGCTACAAAAATGAAGAAGCCTTCCTCACTCACCATTCACCTCTCACCTCTCAAGCAACATGTTTTGTGGCATCTCTTCCCTTTCAAGGCTCTCCTTGAAGTTCATTTTATTCTGCCGTGAAGCCAGCGTGAATGGTTTTGAATCCAGCCTGGTTGTTTGGTCCCTGGCAGGGCAGCAAGGGACCCCTTTGGAGAGGCAGTGCTCAGAACATCAAATGGGGCCCTCAGATATGGACAGCAAGTATCACAAACCTCCAGAAGGGATGCAAGCAAGTCTGATTTTTTTTCTTTTTGTCCTCACCCTTGAAAAGTCAGGAGAAAAATCATGTGATCAGTGTTGTGTTGGAACAACGTTCTTACCTTAGGTTCTGTCAGAGCAGACACTTTGGGTCTGGAAGGCCTCTCTGGAAAGTCCAGCTTAGGCTGTCACCTTTGGGGGGACAGTTAAAGGGCTGTCATATTGGTTCCCAGCACATGGCCATGTGCATCCTTGGTGGGGACACTCTAGTTTGTTAACTAGAATATTTAGCAGAATGACTTCCTGGATTTTGGAATTTTCTAATTTATTGAAGGTTCACCTCCAACTCCTTCCTTGTTTAGCTGCTTGGTGTGGAAAATCTTTCTAACATGCACAAACCCATTTTTAGATTGTCAGTTGTCTATTGAGCAACCTGATGGAACCTGTCTTGGTTGACTGGGTGTCTTGCAAGGATTAGCAATCAATGCATCCCAAACTGGGGTCCCTGAGCCCATAAACCCTTGGGAGAGAGTCTATGAATTACGTCTGTATTTCATAAAGCCTAGTGAAATGTACCCACATGAGGCTGCAGAGGTTAACTACAACATCAAGTGTTTTGGGTTTTGGCTGGAATTAAATGACCTCTGTGTGGCTTTCTCGGGCTGATCTGAAGTTCTGGTGCAGTTTTATATGTATCTGTTTCTTTTTTTTTTTTTTTGGAAGCACAAGTATTTGTTTAAATAAATTGAATACACAATTGATACCTTAATACTAGTATAACAAAACTAAAATTTTTTTATTTTAAAATAATTTTTTGTTTTTGATGACACATAATGCTGCAAATTAAGTGGCTTAACTTTTTTTGTTTTGCTTTAGTTGTATCTGTTCTTATTTTTATTTTTTTAATTAGTTTCAGGTGTACAACACAGTGCAATAGTTATACTTTTTACCACTTGAAGTGACAAACCCCCTCCCCCAATCTGCCGCCCCATTCCCCCCCATATCATACATATCCAATACAATTCCATTGAATCCACTCCCACACTATACTCCACATCTCATAACTATATATATCTATATATAGATATATAGATATATTCAATTATAGTTGACATACAATATTATACAACATCAGCTTCAGGTGTACAGTGCAGTGATCAAGCTTCTACCCCATCCATGAAGTAGTCTCCCTAACAAGACATGTGACCATCTGACACCCTAAAATATTTACAACATTATTAATTATATTCCCCGAACTGTCTTTCATATCCCTGTGGCAATATTGTAGTTACCTATTTATGCTGTCTAATCCCTTCCCTTTCTCCTTCATCCCACCCCCCTCCCAACTAGTAACCATCAGTTTTTCCTCTGTATCTCTGAAGCTATTTCTGTTTACTTTGCTTGTTCATTCAGTTTTTTAGATTCCAAGTATCTGATTCATTTTTAAATGGCAAATTATTACTTGAAAATATATCCTGTCTAGGTAGATAAGTATTTTGAACACAAAAGGTAAAGAGCACACAGTCTAGAGCCAGACTGCCTGGATTCAGATACCAACTTGAAAATTTACTAGCTGGGAATGGATAAACAAATTATAGTACATCCATATGATAGAATATTATTCGGCCATAAAAAGGTCTGAAGTACTGATACATACTACAATGTGGGTGAACCTTGAAAACATCATGCTAAGAAAAGAAGCCAGAAACACAAAGCCACATCTATGATTTCACTTAAATGAAATGTTTGGAATAGGTAAATTCATAGAAACAGAAAGCAGTCAGGTGGTTGCCAGAGTCTGGGGGAGGGCGGAACTCAGAGCAATTGTTTAATGGGTATGGAGTTTCATTTTTGGGTGATGAAAATGTTTGGAAATAGGTAGAGATAGTAGCTGCACAGTGTTGTGAATGTACTAAATGCCACTGAATTGTTCACTTTAAAATGGTTAATTTTATGTTACAGGAATTTGACCTCAATTTAAAAAACTTAGTAGCTGGGCAACTTTGGGCAAGTCACTGAAACTGTACCTCAATGTCTTCATCTGTAAAAGGGGAAAATAATAGCACTTACCTTATGGGGTTTTTATGAGTATTAAATAAGTTACTATTTGTAAAATCCTTAGTACAGTGTCTGGCATATACTAAGTGACATATAACTGTGTATTAAATGGCTTCCATGAGGGGAAAGAAATAATAAAACCTTTGGTAGTGAAAACTTTGGGGACCTCTGGTGAAGATGAAAATGGAGAAAGCACTTACTGTCTTTCATGGGGTAGTCCAAGAGTCCTCTGGTTCCGAATTCCCGGTAGAGATTGCTAGAAATTCAGAAGATGAGGTACCACCCCAGACCTTATTCAATAAGACCTTAGGTGGGAGGGTGCCTCACATCTGACTTTTAACAAGCTCCCCTTTTCCCCCCACCCCAATGATTCTTATGAATGTTAAGGTTTGAGAAAATTTGGTGTGAGAATTTAGACCGAATGTATACTGAAGGCAAAATACTGGCTCCCTGAATTTAAAAAAAAAATCTAAACCTCAGGTTTTAACTTGTTTTTTTTAATCATTTTGAGACTTTCTTCCCAAAATGGACAATTCTTCCTCTGGATCCCCTTGCAGTTTAATGAACAAGAACAGACACACAAGACTACATATAAACACACATGCCTGAAATAAGAATGTATCTTCACTGAGTTATCTATAGCAGCAAAACTCTGTGCTTACTCTATTCTGTTCATGTTGGAAGTGCTATGTTGGACTGCATGGAGGACACAGTAAAACATGGCCCTTGCCTCCAGATACTTACAGATTCTAAGAGACAAGATGGCTATTGAAAAGGCTGGTTAATTTGAGAAGTGTGGTGTATGAGGGGAGAGCAGGGTGGGCAGGACATGAGGGGTACCAGGCCCCCCATTGAATGCCTACTGTCAATCAATCTCAAAGTATTCATGGCGCACTATCTGCAGGAACTGCTGCCAGGCACTGTGGGGGATGCCGCCTTCTATGACAAGGTGCCTGCCCTCAGATGGGGAAGGAAAAGTAAGACACAGAACACAGAAAAGCACTAAGTGCTAAGTTGTGCAGTACTTATTCACAAGGCCAAAAGTTCAGCAGCAAAAGCATTCAGAGAAAGCTTTGTGGAGGTGGGGATTGAAGGACTTGGCCAGGTGGAGGAGAGCTCAAGTGTAGGCACATGGATAGGAGCGAGAATGGTATGTGTGGGTTCAGGAGGGCGCCTCAGTCCTGTGCCAACATCCCTAAGCCTACACAGAATCACCACCACAGCCAAAGGAATGTGACTGCTCCAGGAATTGAATTGGGTGAGCACCCATTGAACTGGGTGTTATTCTCAATATTCTTCAGACTTTTTGGGCGGGAAGAAGTAATAATTTTACTGAAAGATCTTGCTAAATGTTATCCCATTCCCCTTGCCCAAAACATATCTCTTTGTTTCTTTATGTTCAGATGGTGGCTTTTATTCCTGGGGTTGAATTAAGCAGGTACTCCCAAGTTCTGAATGCTTTAAAAACTCCTCAAGATTTGTTTGTTTTTTAACTACTATGGGGTTTCTATTAGGTGTCAGGTACTGTTATAAGTGCTTAACATACAATAACTCATTTGATCCTCATAACATTTTCAGGAGGTGTTTATTAGTCACCATTTTATAAACGAGGAAACTGAGGCTCAGAGAGAAGTTAAGTGTCCAAGGTGATAGCTCTAGGAAGGGGTGGAGCCAGGATTCAAACTACCATGCCTGTCGAACTTCAGAGACTTTGTGTGTAACCACTAAATGGGAAGAAAAAGACAAAAAGAGACCAAGACTTAAAACTGAGTCTAACTGGCAAGAAGAGAAGCCAAGTGTGGGCCTCAGATTCCCCAGCATAAAATAAGGGGGTTGATTAGATCATCCATTCATTCACTGACTTATCAAATACATGCAGAGGGCCAGGGTGGGGGGGGGGCTTAGGGGGAGAGGAAAAAGGCTGTGAGACAGGAGAAATACTGGGTCTCTTCAATACAAGGAAGTGAAAATCTAGTTAGAGAGACAGATAGGCAGAGCATAGAAGTGCTAAATAACTGGCCAAGCTCTGTATTGTGGGGTACCATGAGGAGGAGTTAACTTCCTTGGGGAGGGAGCTGGGGTCAGGGAAGGTGCCATGAAAGAGTTGGCTGGAATAATGGTTGAGTGGGATTTCAACAAGCCCAGAAGGACATAGAAAAGACCGAGGGAGCAGTCAAGAAAGCACTTGTCCAAGAAATGGCCAGAGGGCTGGGTGGGTGAGAACAGAGGCCTTGTAAGGGATATGAAAAGAAAGGAGATTGGAACCAGATTAGGGAGGGCACTGAAAGCTAGGTGAAGGCTCATGAACTTGATTTTGTCAGTGGGCAGCCGTGGCAAGGTTTTCAGGAGGGCAGATGACCTCTTATAGTCCCTTCTACCTCTAACACTGTCTGTTTGATTAAGAACCTTTTTTAAGTGCCTAGGAGTTTTAGGGAAGGTGGGCTTGACCTGGAAAGGCCTCTAGGATAATTTTAGCCTCCTTCCTCATTTTCCCTCCTTTGACTATAAAATCTAGAAAGGTTGTTGGTTGTTTTAGAGTTAAGTTTAAGCAGACATATTGTCTCCCCATCTAGATACAGGGCTCAGAGAGGGCAGAGACCAGACCTTCCATAGCATGCAGTGGGCTGCTGGAATGCCTATCCAGCAGCAACCTGCTGCAACAGGGCTTGTGCATTTGAGATTTGGGAATAGCGAGTAGAGGCAATGAATTCTTCCCTTGGGCCCCTCCCAGGACATAAAGTGAAACACTAGAGAGCACGTAGTGTCTGTAACTCATGGCCAGCCTTGCTGACCTAGTACCTTCCCAGAGTTTACAAGGCTCTTTCTGTACCTCTCTCTTGCCCTGGTACCTTTTCAACTGGGGTGACTTAGAATGAACCCTTGGGCAGCCCTGAGAACCTGAGTTCCAAAACTGACTTCGTCTTCCATTGAGTGGGATGCAGGAGATGAAGGGACAACCAGAAGCTTCAAATTTGCTCCATTCTGACATTCTAGAGATCTCAACCACAGGAATTGTGTTATTGTTGTTGTTGTTGTTGTTGTTGTTGTTGTAGTTGTAGGGCTGGGCTGTTTTATCAGGCAGACAAGGCCTCTGATTGCAGAACAAAGCAGAGAATTGAAGCAATTATCCTATGAATTTAGTCAGAGGTTGGTTTGAGGCCTAAATTACCCTTGGAGCCCCAAGTGCCATTTTTTGTCTCCTAAGCTTCAGGAGGGCAGGGCTCAGGCAAGTGTCGTTCCTGGGTCTCTATGCCACACCTAGGGAGGCTGGTGATCCTGATACTGATCATAATAACGTCTGCATGAGTCCAGTGGTTTATAGTGTACGAAATTATTTTCCATCCATTATCTCATTTGATGCTCAAGGGTGTTCCTGTGAGGGAGGTAGGACAGGTACATTGATTTCCATATTTTAGAGTGGGGGGAAGACCCAAAACACAGTACTTGGCATCAGACTGGTGCTACTCAAATGTTAGGGTTTGCTTAACAGATGTCCTACTGCTAGCTATCAATAAGACAGGACTACGTTCTGGTTCTTAGAACTCCCCAGACAATCCTCTTTCTATTACACCAAGCTGCCTCTCTGAGAGTCCAGGTCCAGGCCAGTAGCTGTTATTGATGGGAGAAACAATTAGAAAAAAATCTGTCTGAAAAGGAATATTTTGGCATCAGATTGAGGTGTGCCATATTGAAAAGAACTCTGGATGTGGAGTCAGGACTACTGTGGTTGAGTCCTAGCTCTGGAGCCCACTAGCCATGTGACTTTGAGCAAGCCACTCATAGATGTTCATAGACTCAGTGTTTTCAATTACAAAATTGAGACTTGTAGTCAGAAAAAAAGAAGAAATAACACAAGTGAAAGGGCTTTGTAAACACGGATGGTATACAAAGGTAAGTCATTATTATTATTATGATTATGTTGTGGTTCTAACCGCACATAAAACAATTATTAATATCTACATTCTCTACAAGGTTTCCCACAACTCTCTCAACCATGCTCCTTGGTTTTCCATCCTCTCCTGTAGGGCAGGAAGTGTGGCCCCCAACAGGAAAGGGCTCAGAGAAGCTAGAGCCTCAGCCAGGAAACAACCATCTTGCCCCAACCTTCATTTCACCAGATAAATGATGCAGCCACATGGTAGACACAGATGAGTGGGAACCAAGGGGTCCAGAACCCATTTCAGCCTCAAACCAAGGAGCAAAGTAGCCCTAAGGCCCTAAGGGCCTTGAGAGAAATGGAGATTTAGTAATTACCAGATTAATTGAAATCAGTGAAGAGAGCCAACCCAAATCAAAGCAGAATTGGTGAGGCCTGCATTATCAGGCTCAATAAAGGCAACCCTCCCCTTATTAATGCAGTTTTGAGTTCATATGTTGATTAGTTTAGATGAATCATTTCCAAATCTTCACTTTTCCTTGGTGTAACTTAGGCCAAAAACCTTTTAAGGTGTGTGTGTGTGTGTGGGGGGTGCATGGCAGTGTGAGAGTGGTCAAGTAAAACAGAGGTTCCCAAAACAAAGTAAAATGACAAGCGTTATAGTCACATTTCTGGCAATACATCCAAGGTGGGTGAGGACAGCAAGAGGGGTCACAGAACATCAGGTCGCAGACAACAGTAAAGCCACTGCAGCCTTAGTGGCTTGCCATGCTCTGCAATACTCACACACATCTTTCAAACCAGGTGAGAAAGATATTCCAGGCAAGTCTCAACTGCCATCTCTAAAGTCTTTCTAAAGGAGAGAAGACACTCCATAATCTAGAAGTGGAACCTCTTGGCCTAGGACAGAGGAGGGGGGCAGGGATGAGGAGGAAGACATTAATCCAGCAGGGCTTCCTTCTAGTCCAAATGACCTCTGGCTTTCTTCAAATAGATAAGTATATAACAAATAATATCAATATATCTGCACATAGATTTTTTTTTCAAAGTCCTGCTATTCATTTCACATTCCATTTACAAAGCCCTCAACCTTCCAGGAACTGATGGGCACCTCCCCTTATGCCCTCTAGGCTGAGGCGATACCTTTGAAGTCCCCACCACCGGCTCAGGGTTGGAGCTACTAAGAACCACAGTAAGACTGAAAGCAAGTCAGCCGGCAGCTTCAGCTCCTTTCGCAAGCTGCTCTCCTCCTCGGAGCCAATGTAGTCATCCGAGTTCCAATGTGGACCACAGGCTTCTCAGCCCTTCAGTCCAGGGGATGGCCTGGGATGTAAACACATATGAGGATTTATTCCTTTGGCGAGGCGGGGAGTCGTTAGGGTAAAGGGTAAGGGTCAAGGGGCTCGGTTTGATGACTGAGGAGCCCGGGAAAAGCGGGCAGAAGCCGAGTCCTCTTCTAGGCAGGTTTTGGCCCGGAGTCCTGCAGGCGTCCCCCTTAACAGACCTTTCGCACCCCCTCCACCTCCTTCCTACCTCGGGCCTCTCGCTCCCGACCCCCCTCCACCAGATGCCTCCACGCCCAGGCTGGGGGCTGCCCTTTGAGGGCCCAGGGGTTTTGCAGCCCTGGAAGTTGCCACGAATGGTGGGCCGCCCGGCAGACGCGAGGCGAGGCAGCGAGCCCCGGCATTTTCCCTTCCCCAGCACCTGTCCCATTTCGGCGCTGGGGCTGGGGCTTCGCCCGCGGGCTGCCTCGGTACCCGAGAGCCACAGCCTTGCATCGTGGTCGCCCGGGTGAGGGAAGTGGGGGGCCGGGAGTGGGGCGGGGCCTCCGGCGGGGGCGCCCCCCCTCATGCAAGACCCTACCCCCCCATACACTAGGTCTAAACGGAGAGAGAGAATCACATATAAAGCATGAGCGAAAACGCTCGCTCTCTGACCCCGAGCGGCGTTGCTCGCCCCCCCCTTCCTGGAGCCGGGGGCTGTCCAGGGAAGGTGGGTCCGTTCTTCCCCCGTGGCCAGTGCGGGGTCTGTGGCTGCCTGGAGAGGTTCCGGCTTACCCGGGGCTAGCAGGGGGAGCCCCGAGAACTGCAGGCCCGCCCCCCCTTCCTCCTCCTCCTCCTCCTTCCCCTCCTCCCCCACGTGTCCTCCCGGAGCCCAGCGGCCTGATCCCAGCACCCCCGCCACCTCCCTCCTCCCGCTTCGCCCGCTTCTCCCGCGGCGTGGAGAGAAGCAAAGTTGCGACAGCGGCCGGGGGCTCTGCCCAGGTGAAGGGGGCTCTGCGGAGGTGGGGGGGACTGTGCGGCCCTGCGGTGGGGGCGGGGGAAAGATAAAGAAACTTGCTTTTCGCGGCCCCCACCCCGCGCGGGTTCGGATCTTGCGTGGACCGAGCCCTCGTGGCGAAACGCGGCAATGCCGCCGGGACCGAGGCCGGCACCGGGACCGGGACCTGGACCGCACTCCTGGGCCGGATCGGCGGGCGCAGGCAGAGGGCCAGGCCAGCACCCAGGCAAGGGCGGGGTGGGTAGCTGTACACCGGACCGAACCCGGGACTCCGGTGGCCTGGGCGCGGGCCGAACCCGGACCCAGCCGAGTTGGGTGGCGAAGTAGGACGTGGATTCGGGGGCGGGGCGCGGCAGGAGGGGGAAACCAGGCCCGGCCCGACTGGCCGGGGCGTGGGGGCGGGGGGCGAGTTCGGGGCACTTGCTGGGCTCCGGACCGAGCGGTAGGGCGGGGCGGCGCTAGGGGCTGGGCTGGACCGGCAGAGAGAGGGTGAGGGGAGGGGGAGCCGGGGGTGGAGTAGGGGCGTGGAGTTACGAGCGGGGTCTGGCCTCGGCCGGGGGCGAAGGTAGATCCGCGGGGCCGCCAGCGAAGGGAGGGAGGCCCGCGGCAGCGCGGCGGAGGGGAAGGCCAGCTTCCGCGGAGTTTGTGCCCCGGCTTCCCGGGCTTCGGCCGCCTCATACGCACAAATGGGGTAGGGGATTGACTGGTAAGTAACTACGAGTGTTAGACGGTGTTCGGCAGCGATTCCTGGAAAAGCGAGGAAAGACACCATCTGCAATTATGCTGAACCCCCCATCCACTTCTTAGCATCTGGATTCTGCTCTCAGGGGGCCGCGGAACCTCCTCGCCACAACCCTTTGACTCTCCAGCACTCTCACAGCCTCCCCCCTCCCTTGGCCATCTGACTCCTCTAGGGGTATGTGTTTAGGGTGGATGACGGCAGGGGGGTATACTTTCCCTCCCGCCGCAGCAGCCTAGTTCACATCTTATTCCTACATGTAGCGTCACTTCGAGTCGTGTGGACATTGAGGTTGAGATAATCTACTACCCACTTCCCACCCCCCCCACCCCCCAAAAGAAGCGATTTGATGGATTTTAAGGACAGGGACGAACCCCTGGAATTTCATGCCTGGGATGAGGTTTGAGGATTGGGATTCACCCCCACCTCACTTCCACTACCAACCCCTCTTTCCTTGTAAGCCATTTACACTGGAATCCGAACTAGGGTGGGGGGAAACGGTAGTATTAATGTGCTTCTCTATCTCTACACAGGGTCGGCGTGGCCAAGAACGGCTAGTCTCGGAGGGAAAGTAGCCACCGGTTCAACTCGGGTCGCCCCCTCTACTACCTCGGTGAGGGGAGCAACGCTAAGAAAGGGATACTGGTGGGTAGGGGCCCAGCATAAGGGAGAGGGCTGGGTAGTCACCCCCGGAGGGACTCCGTTTCTTGGTGGGGTGGAAGACGTGAGCTTTCGGCTTCAGGGAAGGGGTTCCAGGGAGGCAGATAGGGGATGGGGACGACGGGGGCGCTGGCAGGAAGAAAGGGGGAGTCACGCCCTGCCAACAAGGGGAGCCTCCCTCAGACCACTGAGAGAGGCGTCTCAATGTGTCTGCTCTATGATGCCCAGCAGGGGAGATCTGGGGTCTCTGCATTTGCACATTGGATCAGGCACCAGGAGCCTGAGAAAGTCAGGTCAGGGCATAAGGTGGAGAGCGTTGGAAGAAAGAGAGAGAACCCCCAGGCCTTGGCGCACTGATCTTTTCCCTTCCTCAACCTCCTCCTTGGAGGGGCGTCGAGGGGGGTTGCTGGGGATCTTGCATCCCCTCGATGGAGCGCCCCCGCCTCTCTTGGGAGTCTAGCTTTTTGCCCGGCTTGCTGCAGCCACCGCTGCCTCGCTCTCTGGAATCCGCTGGGTCTACACAGCGATCCCCTCCTCCTCGGCTCCCCTCCCAGTGTCACCGGGGCTGCTTGGCTCTGCCCCCTTCGCTGCCGCTTGCTCCTTGCTTTCGTCCCTCCCTCTCTCGCTCGCTCCCTCCCTTCGCCTCCTCCTCCCCATTCCACCCCCCGGACAGGTGGCATTCTGGGAGTTGTAGTCCCGTCGAGCAGGGGCTGGCGCCGCCCGCGGACCCTGCCGGACTCCACTTCCCATCGAGCCCTGCGACCGGCACCCACTCCACCAGGCTTCGCTCACACACACAGACACACACACACACCGCTCTCCCCCTCACTCTTTCGCTCGCCGCGGCTGCTGCCAGTGTGTGGCTCTGTCTCTCCTCCGCTTTGCTGAGCCCTCCCTTCTTCCTCTCAGTTCCTAGAGTCCGACCGCCGCCGCCGCCGCCGAGAGGAGAAGGAGGTCGGTGGCGATTAGGGGCGAAGGGGGGGCATCAGATCCAGGCAGTATGAAGCGGGTGGCGGTACTGAGTGGGTAAGAGAGAGCCCGGGTGGCGGCCTGAGCCTCCCCGCGGAGCCGACCCGGGAACAGGTGCGTCTTTTTTTTCTCTCCCCCAACCCCTCCACCCCTTTTGACTCCCCGGCTTTCTTGTATCCCCCTACACCCCGCTTCTTTCTATCTTAAAACCTTTCCTTCCCCTGTCCCATCTTCGCCCCGCGGCTGCTTTGCTTGCCCCCCGGGGCGCCGTCCTCTTCGTGTCCCCGGACGTAGCGCTCCCTGAAGCTCCCTCTGTTCTCGCCCCTCCCTTCGGGACAGCTCCCCTCCACTTCCCACCTTCGTACCCCATCCCTGCCCTACCCTACCCTCTCCTCACCCCCTTCTCCCTTAGCCAGGTGAGACTTGTTCGCCACAATTCGAGATAGTCTTCTTCCCGGCTGGGCGGGGGTCTCCATGGAAACGGGGTCCTGGATGATCCTGGGGGGGAAACCATTGGAATTACCCCTCTCCTCAGAAAAGAAGGTGGTGGCTACAGTCTTGTTAACTACCTGGCCCCCCACACCCCCACACCCCCCCATCCAGGGATCCGACGATCGGAAGGGAGGCTGGCCAGCAGGGCAGGGCGAGAAAGGGCTTGTTTTTTTTTTGTGTTGTTTTTTTTTTTTTTTGGGGGGGGCTGTTGCTGTCCGTGATGAAGTCTTGAAGAGACCGGGAGAAAATACCCTCCAACCTCAGAGGGGAGGTGCGACGGGTGCTTTTCAGGGCTGCGTTCTTCTCGGTGTTGGGGTGCAGGAACCTTAGGGTAAGGGGTACCCCTAGGTGGCGGCGGGGCCTGGGTTTGGGAGTGGGAGTGCTGTGATGGGGGCAGGGGCAATTCTCCGAGTCCCTGGAAAAAAGGCGGGGGATGACTTCGGAGCGTCCTGGCTCCGCTGCCCTCGCTACAGGGGCGGGGGCCTCCGGGCCGGGCGCGGCGGGGAGGGGGCTTAAATTGAAGGAGGATGAGATCGGGGGGCAATTCCTACTAGCCCTGGCAAGCCAGCGGGGAGATCCGGCGTGCAAGCTCTCCACCCTCTTCGCGCCAGGCCTGGAGGCAAGGGGTCTGAGAGCGAAGCCGAGGGCTGGAAGGAGGGAGGCTCCGGTTACGGGGCCGGGTTTCGGGATCAGGGGCAATCCCCCAGTCTTTGGAGAAGCAGGGCGAGGGATGGCCGCGAACCCCAGGGCTCCCCCACCTGGGTCCTAAGGGGCGTGAGGAACGGACAGCAGGCCCAGCGGAGCTGGATTCGAGCGGATCGCGGCTGGGGCGTGGGGGGGGGCTTAGGGGGAGAGGAAAAAGGCTG